ATATTAGTCAAAGAAATGCTTCTTAATCAAAAATAATTAATGTACCAACCCCCTTTGTTTTTAATTTGTATTTAGGTAGTATAATATTAAGAACAAAACAAAGAATTTTTAGTGTTCCGTCCAAATATTGAGAAAATTTTTTACTTTCCTGAGTATCTAATTTCCACAACTTATTTTTGCCTTTTTGAAAAGCATTGTTTGTATCTTACTATATTTCCTAAAACCGTAGTATTCTCTCCAAGTGATACCTCTTTCTTTCGTGCTTATCTCTTTATTGGCATTTTTTGTATAATGACATCATTCGATCTTGCCTGTTTGTCTCGATAAATAGTAAGTTTCTATTCAGTATGTGCAAATATATACATTCCCAATAAATTGAATTCCTTCGTAAAGAATAAATAATCGCATCGAATTTAAAAACTAATTTACAATTTATGAATTAAATTGTAAATTTTTGTAGAAATACGTAGGTACATATTCTAAAACGTATTTTTTTGTTGCAAAGGTTAATAGCAATTTTATCATAAGTATTTCTGTTTTTATTAAGGGGCTCTAATGGAACCTATTTGAATTTAAAAAAAATAGTTAACGATTATGTTTTTTTAATTTATTATATTATTAGATTTACATTTATTTAACTGATCAATAACTTAATAACAATTGCGAGTATTGTTTGCGTAGGTGTATGTGTACAATAAGGAAACTGATCAAAGTAGTTTTGATTATTTTTATTAGTTATTAAGAGAGAAGAAATGGAATATGTGTAAAATAACGAAACAGGTATTTTTGTTAAATTTTTGCGCGAAAATCGGGATCGTGGCCATGGATGAGCCGGCTAAGCTAAGGGTCATGCATTAAAACTTGTGACTCATATGTCAGTCCACACTAAATATTAATTGAACCCTATATAACGTAAACTTTAAAACCATATAAGCATTCAAGTTCGCATAACCCAAGACGCTTAGCTTAATACAAAACTTTGCGAAGTTTTGCAATTTTTTTCTAAATGAACGAAAATGACAACAATCAATTTATTATAGGAGTACAATTTTTGAACATACCTTATGTTTATTCTACTCTATGGTAATTTATTATCTATTGTTTTTCTTTTTATAATGTCTGTGCCTATTTCGGTGTTACTACCTACCTTTACCATCGACCTATACTAATGGACATGCCTTAGCGGTCAGAATTGTGGTACAACAAAAGAAAGAGATAGAATGAAGTTTCGGACAATATCCATCTCTCGCACCATAGTGTGTAAGTGTGTAATGAAAGAGATAGAATTAGTCCGAAACCATACGCCATCTCCCTCATTCTTTTCGAGCCAAGAAATTATTACAACCACATCCGGCTAAGGCACGTCCATTATTATATGTCTATGCTTACCACTATCTTCGACGAGATTAACAAATTTATAATGACGTCGATGACGTACTTCCTTCTTGTTCACCGTTCATGGTTTACTGCTGCTTATGCATTGCACTTTCATATTTGGTAAAAGATTTAAAAATGTAATAATACATGCAAAATTTATATCACTATACGCCCTGGAATTACAGCTTTATCTGTGGTATGTATTTTAATTATTGGCTGTGAGAATGTTTTTAAGATTCGCATTAATTAAGTTTATAAATACGTACGGAGTTCAATCGGCCATATTTGATAATCTAGAGCAGGTCTAGATTGTAGTTTATGTAAATCGATCGATTTTGTGAAAAATAATAGCAATCAGTTCGTTCATTATAAATAAATTGATTTTATAAAATAATTCAGTTTCTACAAAATTATTATTTTTGGCTTTCACTTGTTTTTCTTTTTCTTTTTTCAGATATAATTGGGAATAATTTTTTTCCAGCCTTTGCCAAACGAATTTTTACTTCAGCAGTTCAACCTACTGGTACAGTGTCACAGTGGATTCGCTTTCTAAGTTTTGAAGGACTGTTGTGGAGAGGTGAGGTAACTGAAAATGTTTGAAAATGAATAAGTGTTGAACATTCTGTAAAGTTGAATATAATTTTGTTTATTTAGTACTGTAATTAATTCGGTTTTCTTTATTTCTGTGTATTATATATAGATGACAAAGGAAACTGAAATCCATTTCGATGCTACTAAAAAAACAAGTTCTAGCTGTGAATGCAGACTATAAGTACATATTGATATGAGAGTAAATGTGGGAAAAGGAGTTTTCATTAAAAGTGGTAATTGGTTACTTTTTCTTGTTCGTTTTTGTAGATTGTCCATGAAAAGGAATTCAGTTAATTTTCGATGCTAATGAAGCAACTGATCCATTTGACGTAAGGGAGAGAACTGGAAATTAATTTGGAAACCACCCAAACAGATTGTCTGCAGTGGTACTCTCCTAGATTTGGATTGCACATTTCACATTTGAACGCTACTTCTTCACTTAAGGTGATAAAGCATGACGTGCTATTCAATTAATCTGTTACGGTATATTGACAGTTATCTATTGTTCACAGTATAAATTGATGTTATGCATCTATGGTATTCACTTTAACATTTATCTATTATGCGTAGCATCTATAGTGTTTCATTTAACAGTTATCTATGGTTCGCATCATGAATTGACGTTATACATATGCATCTATGATTATTTCACATATGTCAAATACGATCTTTATGTAAAATTGAGGCTCGTCATCCTTTTATAATTCGACTGCTTTATTTGCTTTTTGGTCTGTTTTTAGGTGTTCTTTCATCCCTTCCTTCGTTAATAGTGTAATTAATAAGGTTTTTTGTTCATTTCTGCAGATTATCCAAGAAAAGAGAGAGACTTAAAGTCAGCTTGGTCATACTGAAACCAGCAATGTCTAGATGGGTTTCATCTTTCCTGGAGTATATACTTGATTTGCTGCTTTGTCTTCACCTTGAACCATTATGCAGTCAATTTTCAACCTACGAATGAGAGCAACTGGAGGTTTCTTTGACTTCTTTTGAAACAACAAATTTTCTGCTATGGTATTCCTCCTGGATTTGGTTTGCTTTTCACACATGCAAACTTTGGAATGTTACAGTCTACAGTTAATTAAGGTGAGACTACTTGATATAATTAATTTTAATTGCTCTTTATTAATCTGTTACCACCGTATCTGTTTCAGATCGACGTTGGAGAAGACAAAGATGACCCCATAATTGAAATAGTTCTTTATCTTGCATGCTCTATCTAGTAGAATTCATTAAGTTGATTTTATTCAAATTAATTTTTTATTTTGCATGTTTTTTTGTTTTTTTAGTAGTTAATTTTATTTAGTTTTTATTTTGCATGCTTATTTTTGTTCATTTTATTTGAAGTAATTGTTGATTGTAGATGTTTTTATTTTTTTTTGTATGTAGT